TCCACACCTGGTATCAGGGGTCCTGGATCTAACATACTTGCCATATAAGGGTTCCTAGTATACATATGTATTATAATATGAAGTAGGATAGACGGTATATCGGGGTACTCCCCTGCTTGTATATATACTAGGGTCAACTGGGAGTAGATCCCCAGTTCTATCATACTTCTCCACCTGGGGCTCACTCTTTCTCTGAGTCCTGGAGGGACTGGCTAGCGATCCAGGTCAATGACCGTCCGACATGGGACTTCAGGCCACCCAACTGAGGGCCTGCTTGCAGTTGACTCGTGAGAGTCATTATCCTGCCACCACCTACTTGTCGACATATCACGATTGACCGTTCAAGTTGGTTCTGGATGTTAGAGGTAATCCATGTCTAGTCAGGACTACATAGGTGCCGACACATTAGCTTGTGTTCGGAGACTATTCCCTAGTAGTTCATGACATTATGATAGAACTCATCATAAGCGGTCTCCCACCGCTTGTCCGTTTAAGTACGGCGTCCACCTGCACGATAGCAGTGTTATATCTTCACCTGACGTTCCGTCAGTCGCCGGCACTACCCATGCTCTGTGCGACCTCGAAGAATAACACTTGGACGCTGTACGGACACCTAAGATCCCTTTAGCAAGGATCTTACTAGATCAGACGGGTGTATATAAGCTGTGACTGCGCTACGGCGTAACCAGTGTAAATACATTTAACTCTGGTTTAGGTTCTGTCCTGTACGAAGAGTCTATTCTCTCCGTCGTCTCTTGCGAACAAGAAGCAAGCTTACAAGACGCTTGGGACTAGCTACCATCGAAATCTTTGTATAACGATATAAATAATATATGAGAATACCCTCATCGTATACTATATAAATCATACCACGAAGATTTCAAACCATCATTGCATTACTCACGCACGAATATTGAGTCGCTTTATCTACCAAGCAATAGTACTCAGTGGCTTCATCCACCACAAATATTCGTCACTAGTTAACTCTACTCCATAAAAACATTATTATGGATCTTCCATGAGAGCAACGCGGAGCTGCTATTCCGCTTACTCCATCTTTTATCAAGCGTTCCACATCTAGAGTAAAGATGTATTGGCCTATATCTACCATCGGGCTTTGGGAACAAATCCCACAAAGTGATCAGCGAAGGCTCATAAATGCCTTGCAACAGTACAGACAATGGGCAGGTCAAGGGTACTTTGAACATCGAAGTGTCGAATTCTTCGTCCAACCAGGAGCACTTTGGTATCAGTGGCGACTTTATGAAGTCCACTATGTCACAAAATACCAAGTGTCTTATTTAAACTGGTGGGACTGGATAAACTCCATCGAAGAAATTATTGTTGATCTCGATGAAGAACCCATAACCCACTTGTCCTTACATCAAAGAAGGAAGCTGTACTGTAAGGTGCAAATCGCAAGACAAAAAGGAGCATATCATGCCTCTGTCCCGCGGTACCAATCACGTCCCGAATAGGTCAAAATGGAAATCGAATACGATAAAGGATAAAAAAGAAGAATACATGTCTGGCATAACAATCGAATATATTATCCCTATTATGAAAGCAACGGCAGCTTTGAGCGCCCTCTATGTTGACTTTCGGATAACGATTGTTGCGGTTACATCACAACCGCATCCCTCATATATATTACACACTCTCCTCATTATCAAGCGACCTTGATGCTGCAAGATTCAAGAATTCGTGGTTATATCACAACCCTTTTATACGAATTTCTCATGAATCAACCCAGTAATACTAAATAAAGCAAGACTTCGCGTTCACTCCAGACAAGTAGATGCACATTCCTACTTGTAGAGGAACAAAGAAGTCGCTATAAGCTTCATTAGTAGGGCTCTAGCAGCCTATGTCAATGTCATCATCCTTCCAGTAAAATAAGGACCCGTAAATGACGTCGCTTAACTTCAATATAAAATATTCGCAATCCTGTGTTTCGTAAAACATATGCTAGTAAGCAACAGAAACCAGACTCGAGCAAAATAACCAGTAGCAAAGGTTAACTCGAGCCACTGCATCTAAGAAGTATAACGGCAGCTTAGAAGTGCCACTAAGTTATATTTTCAGCAGTCTAGGTTATATCACAACCATTTCCGTTGCCGTATACATATTGGACACCTATAAAGACATCTTAAGCAGTATCACAAACTTAGGACGCAGAGCGCCGACTAAGCCTATGACCTTATGATCAAACACTTACTGACTGTTGACGACGTAAGGATGGACACAAAGAT